TTAAAGAGTAATGTTCTTTGTTTCTGGGGGAAAGCAAGACACTCACTTAGAATTTAATAAAGTGGAAAGGATACAATAAATTATAACCAACTTCATAATTTAAAAGAATTCAAGGATCCACAATGGTATCCACACACTTTTTTCAGGGAAAGGGAAAGTTCTTCTTTACATAAAATAATTAACAAACTAAAAGGAAGGGGAAAACGGAATATATTTTTTTTTAATGTGAAAGGGTTCCTCAGTACTGTTTCCTCTTTCCATTTCCAGCAGTTATTACAGACCACGTAAGATGTAGCATACTAATACTTTTTTCTGATTTAAAAAATAAACCATATTTGTTGTACAAAACTAATGAAATACAAGCTGTAGAATGATGTCCAGAAACTCCCACTCGGAGGTCATTACTGTTTCCATGCACTTCCTTCCTCTCGTGCTTAGCTTACTCACACAGCAGAACCTAACTGCAATTCCTACGGCCTCTACCCATGGCTCATTTGTTAGTTTCACTTAAAATTTTCTATGAGCATTTTAAAACAAAATTACGAAAACTTTGAAAATGTCATTTAAAGTAACTTTTAGCCAGGTCGTGGTGCACACCTGTTATCCCAGCACTGGGGAGGCTGAGGCAGGAGGATCATTGCAAGTTTGAGGCCACCTTGGGCTACAAAGGGAGCTCAAGACCAGCCTGAACTGCATAGCAAGACCCTGTCTCAAAAAGACAAAAAATAAAAAGTAAAAAGGTAACTTTTAAATAACTATGATTCTACACACAATTGGAAAATATAAAAATACAAAGAATATGAAAATCACCGGAAATCATACCATTTGCAATCATTTATCTTATGTGTATTTACCCATCTTACATGTACATTAATCAAATTATGTAAGCATGAATGTTTTTTAAAACACAATTAAGATCATGCAGCATACACAGTTTTGTTTCTTAACATGATATTATGTCTCCTCCTTGTCATAAGCTGTTCTTTGGAAATCTGATCTTTAGTGATGTACGGTGACCAAAGATGGGGATCTTCCTCCAATGAACCTGCTGCACCTAGAACCGTTCCAAGCAGATCAAAGTTCTCATTATAGTTGCAGGATGAATAAATCATATAAATGTGACATAATTTACCTCATTTTTCATTCAGTGTTAGGCTTTCATATTATTTTCAGTTCTAACTATACACTGCAACATTTAATGAACGTGTTCATACAGAAAAAAGCTTTGCTCTGTGTCTTTGGTTAGGTCTCTAAGAAAGATGACTGGAGAGGTAGAATTATTAAGTCTTTAAAAAGTAACTCTAGATAGTAAAAGTTTGAGGGACCCTGATTAAATTTTTCCAAGATTACTTTCAGAAAACGATTCTTCATGGCATGGCTTTCAATAGAGTATCCTTGACCGTCTCAGGGCTTCCTTAATTATACTGTGGGTTTTTATGGATTCCCTTAAAATATTTACCATGTTGATTGTAAAAACTTAGTTATTTTAATTTGCATTCCGTGGGTTACTGGCATACATTTATAGTCCATGCAAATTCCTTCTGTCTATGCACATGTTTGCTCAATTTTACATGAAGGCAAACAAAATAGTGTCGAAGGATGAGATGCTGTCACCTTTACCGGGGGCATGGCAACTCTTTCAGGAGTGGGGCTGGGGACAAAGTGGTAATCTTGAGCCCACTGCTGTGACCTCAGACAAACCTTGACCTGCCCCCACTGCCCCATGGTGGTTTTCACTAATAGAGCAGAAACACCCAGAGGCTGAGAGAGGGGGTTGCCCAGAAGGAGGAAGCTGAAGGGACCACTGGTACTGTCTCTCACATCCACCTCAGCACAGTGGTTTCAAGCAGATCAGCATGTTCATAGGTTATGTTCTGACTGTATTGTGCCTTCACAACTAGAGTGAGTTCCACAGACAGGCTGGATTTCTAGGAGAATTCTAAAAAGGCAAAGTTCACTGGGGCTCCTCAGGGCTACCGGCTTTAGACAGGATGTGCACTGTCCCTGTTGTTCATGCCATCCCTCCCTGCTCCACATCCTGTTCTTAGCATACCTGGCTGAGCCCGCTAGTGGATCTGTCAGCTCAGGGGCAGCCCGGCTCACCAGGAAGGCTTCTGTGCTGTCTTCTGTGCAAAGCTCCCTCTTGGAACTGGACAGGAGGGCAGTGGCTGCAATGCAACACTCACCTGCATGAACTCCACACTGCTGTCCAACGGGGCTTCCAGGCGAAAGAGGAGAAGAAAGTTTTCATCTTCAGACAAGAACATACTGGCCAGCTAGAGGACCAAAGAACAGCAGTCAGGGGCACAGGGACACTGGCCAGGGTCACTTTAAAGGGTGGGTAATAGGCTCCGAGCTCACATAAGTCCAGCTGCAGCTCTGAGCCCATGATTGTCATTTGTTGATTTATTTGTTCTCTCTAAAGGTATTGCATTCCTACTAGGTGTGAAATACTCCCATGGCAGTCTCATACAGCTCATGCTCCCTGTGTCTTTTGTTGGCTTCAGGAGTCCACACTGAGTGACTGATTTATGTCATCTAAGTTTGTATTACTGTGCTCTACAATGTTCACACAACTATGCTCTTCTCAGAACATGCACCCTTTGTGAAGCAATATGTAACCATGGTGGTAATACTCTTTAAACAGTAATCCACTTTGGAATTTGAGGAGGAAAGATAAGGTAAGAAGCAGCCATACTAGATGCCGCAAGCTAAAAACACTGGCTTTCTTTAGTAGGTACTCAAGAAAAGAGGGGTTGCTGGGTATGGTGACACATGCCTATAATCTCAGCACTCAGGAGGCTGAGGCAGGAGGATCGTTGCAAGTTCGAGACCAGCCTGGGCTACAAAGTGAGCTCAAGGACAGCCTGAACTGTATAGTGAGACCCTGTCTCAAAAAGACAAAAAAAAAAAAAAAAGTGGGATTCAGCTGAATAAAGCTATTTTCTGTTTATTTTTAATCATCTTTAGGGAGAGCCCTTTGCAACCTCCACTGGGCACTGCTGCAAAAGTTTAAACTCATTTAATGTCTTGTCAATTTTTTCTTACATCAAGGATTAGTTTGAACAAGACACTGTAGAGAGACAAATGTAGAGAGACTGTAGAGAGACTCAAGTACCTGAAAGGGCTCCATCATCACAAGTCCCCAATCATAAAATAGGTACAAAATTGATTGACCTAAATAAAATGATGAAAGAATTAGCCAGTCTCTGTTACTAAGCAACTAAGAAGATGAAAAAGGAGAAGTGATTACTTTCAAAATGCTCTATCCAGACCAAATGCCTTGCAGAAAGTTCTAATTTCCCAATCGAATGTTAAGATTCCCATTGTCTTCAAGGAAAATTACAATTTAAGAAGGTATAGCCAAGACAGACACAATCATGAACAGTACCTCTTTCATCCTTATGTGACCTTCTTTAGGGACACCATAGGCAGTCATAAATTGTTGTTTCATCTTGCGCACATTTTCCTCCATAACTGAGTCCTGCAGTGATTGACATATAGTCACATTACAGTCAACAGAAGCCCCAAACTATAATTATGATAGCAAATATTCAAAATGCACAGTCCAATCATTATGTTCACCTAGCCTGGAAAGCTGGCTCCTTGGCTATTTAAAATGATCCTACTCTTTTGTAGAAGACAGAAAATTCATGGACATTTCTTGAGTAACCTACCAGCTATCAAAATCATGTCTAGGTAAAATGTGTAATTAGTGAGTCACTAAAATGTGGATGAAAAAATTCTTTGAGAGTGCTGAAAGAATGAATTTGAATATCATGATCTATTTGATTGCAAGAGAAGATGGTATTGCATCTAATGTTGTATCTAATGTTTCCATTTTTAACTAAAAAGTCGGCTTTGGGTACTGTAAGCTATTCTCTTAATCTTTTCTTTGTACTCTCTGAAGAAAAAAATAATTATAAGAGTGAAATAATAGGGAAAAAAACCAAAGAAATAAAATAATTGTTGAGTTACCAAAGAGGTCATATTTCTCATCCATGTACAACATTTTCTACACATTTAGTTGTCTTCTTTAGTGGATTTCAAGGTCACTGCAAGAAATGGGACAGATGCACCAACAAAAAAGAAGCAATTCTGCTGCCAGAGCTGAGAGGCACAGAAACTTCCAGCCTCTGAGGTTCCATACCTGCTGAAATTCTTGTGAAATTAGTTCTCTCTGATACCATCATCCTATTCCTGCCTGAGCCCATTAGCTGTGTTACAGGGCTAAGAAGAAGTGACACTCTTGGCTGGCCACCCTCCCTACTGTGTTGAGAGCGACCGTGACTCTGAGATCCTAAGAGACTCCATGGGTGCACTGTGCCTGGGCTCACATCCCAGACTGTTCCCTGGGAGCCTGGTACTCACCCAGTTCCCCCTTTCTCACTCATAGTTCTCAAGAGTGATGGTAGGATGTGCTGAGAATAAACCCTCTTGAGATTAAAAAAGAATTGTCTGGGACAACCCAAGCATGGAGGCAGTATCTTCTACAGTGGGATAACCCAAACGTGTTGGCCCACCACTGCATGCTGTGGCCAAGTATAAAACTCAAGGAAATCACTTTTTGTTGATTACCCAGCCAGGGCTTACCATGAGCCTGACCCCAGTGAGTAAAACAGACCCAGCCACTGCCCTCTGGCACAGGCTGTGCCAGACACCCTTATCCTGCTTTCCTCTCCCCTGGGTCCCCTCTCTGATGGGCTTCTGCAAAAGTGAGCAGATGGTGGGAGGGAGGAGTGGCACAGAATAACAGACAGCTGCATCTAACTCACGAGGACAGGTGAATAAACATTCATTGAGAGCTTGCCATCCAGGCTCCTTGACAAATGGCATTTTCACAGTGGCCAAGGGAGTTTTAAAAAATCACCATGCCCTTTAGCCTTTGTCTTCCATGCTGTCCTCCTGACCTTTCCTCTTTAGGGAGGTTTTTGCTTTAATTTGTCATCATCATCATCATCATCATCTTCATCTTTGTTGATCCTATATATTCCAACCTCTTACACTGAAATTCTCCTTTACTGCTTTCCTAACACTGGATGAAAAAATATCTCAAATTGCTTTGTTTTGCCTTGTTTTTGTTGAAATGACTTGAGTGTCCTTTCACTCATGCCCTCTTGTCCTTAAGCAGTCATCTCTTCACTTAACTGCTTTCAAATGGTGAATGTTGCCCAGTATTGGAAAATATAAAGAGTCACCTAAACTCTCTACCTTGTAGGACTTGAGATGTGAAAGGAGGAACAGTCCAATCCTAGCAATTGCTGCACTCTGAATCAAAAGGCCTGGTTCTCTTCAATCAGTCTGTGATTCAGAAGTAAGAGCGAGGAGAAAAGAATCAGAGGATACTAGGTGCCCTTCCCTACAGATCTGAGACACTGAACTTTCACTTTACTGATGTCGAAAGAAACTAACAGGGTGACTCCCCTCTGCTAGATATTGGCAGAGTGAGACTGAAACCAGCACTTTCCACTGGCACTTTGCTCTCAGGGCAGAGCGCACAGGAAGAATGTCCAACATTCATGGGTTATAAATGAGCAATGGCTCAAAGTCCAAGAAAACCTTGGGAACTTGCTTTCAGGATAGACTCTGGCCCATCCTTTAAATATCGTAAGACCCTGAAATGTGAAAGCCAGTTCCTAGAAAGCCAGGAGCACCTTGACCAGCAGAGGCAGCTCAATACCAGGGAAGACCCAGAGCATTATTGCAGGATTTCAGTCCCTGAAATTAGAATCTTGTCACATTACTTGTAGGAGGTTGGTGCACAGGAAATGTTTGATGGGGAGCTATAGTAGTGAAGTAGAAGAAATGTTCTGAGCTGAGATGATTTAAGCTATTGGATTCCCCTAGTATCACCTTAATTTTCTATACTTCCAGGACTGATGTGATAACAGAAATATGGGGCCCCATCAAGTTTCATGTCAATCAGTAATTTGCTTCTTGCTTGTCTAGTCATCCACAAACTTTCATCAGCAAGTATAAACACACATTATGCCTTTTTTATTGTCACATTTTGCTGGTGGGAATTAGATTAAAATATGAAAATGGATGAAGTATGTGCAACAGAAAGAGATTAATGAATTAATGTCTCATATAGTCCCCAATTGGATACTAGATTGTGAGAAATAAATTTTGTTTGGAATAAATTGTAGTGAAGGTAAGTTTTTGCAATCAGTCAAAAGTTTTGTTAATAAACATATGTATATACATACATATATAACTATTTTAAATTTTTTAAAAAGGCAAATCCAAACCTCCAGCACTTGTAAATGATGTATTAATCAAATGGATTTGAGTATCCTAGCCATATCAAAGCCATCTGCTAGATTGATGGCTTTGGTCTTATATTTAGAATGATTAAATGATTAAAATAAGAGGACTTGGACAGATTGACCCTGTAAATACATCAGCCAAATGAACTCACTTGAGTGAGTTCTAGACAGGGATACAATAGACAAGAGCCTAGTTTAAAGACTGAATACCTTCTGAAGTGAACACACACCAAATGAAAATTTTTGAAAAAAAGATATTAGTGACTTGGAGCCAAAATCTCAGGTGAATGTATTGTCTCACTCGTGTAAGAACCTGAGGGAGTGAATGAAGTCTGAGGGGTGCAATGGATATTGTGCAGGGGAAGGAAATTGCTTGAGGTGGGGGAGAAGCTGGAATGAAGGAAAAGCAAAAAGAAAAAAAAGGGAAAAACACATTTATAGGTATACACATACAGCTAAAATAGTTGTACTGCTGATTCCTATTACTTTATTGAAAGGAACAGATAATGTTTAATTGTTTAATCACTCTTACATGCCTATATTTGTTTATCTGAGTAACCAATTTGAACATATCAATATGTAATACAGCCACCATTGTTAATTTCCTATTACCTTGCCCAAAAATATGTATTGCTTGTATTGTTTTGTGTTATTTTGTAAATGTTTGTGTCTGTTAATATGTTTTCTTTCTTTTATCTTTAAAATTTAAAAATTAAATTAAAACATTTTTTTTAAAAATCTCAGGTGAAGAAATGAGAAGTGGATTATTTGTCTCATTCTGAGCAAGTGTCCAGGGCCCCCGAGGTGACTCTCTACTCTCTGCTGTCCTCAGCGGGTAGTTTCTCTACTTATGAAGGACCAAAGAGGGAGTGTGACTGAAACCATTCTCCAAGGAAAAGAGACAATTTACTTTCAAAAACTCGTGATCTCATTGACAAATGTGTTCAACCTTAGATCCTAAAAGCTTCTTAGTGTTTAAGAGCATAAGGTTCAACTGTCCTGTACGGAGTGACCCATTAGTGAATCTAAGAAAACAGAAGGGGTCCAGAATACGCAGTGGAAAGGCTAAGGCCCCATGAAGATGCTCCATGGCTACATCAGGCACTTCCACACTTGGGACCGCTTCTCACTTGTGCTGTCTCTTTGTGACACTGGCAGCCAAAATATGATTATTCTGATTTTATGTACAGGAAATTGAGACAAACGCAGGGAGTTTAAGTGGCATGTTGATGTCAGTGAGGACACAAATGTCTGATTTCTGTTCCATGTAGGGGACTTGTTCCCCCACTCCGTGAGGCTTCTCTAGAGTTTGGCCTTCAGACAAAGAGCTACATTCTATTTTTTCTTGTGCGGTGGACAAGGATTCTGAGGTTCCAAGATCCCCTGCCCACCAGATTTCTTTGTGGAAGCTGCACTGGATGCTTGTAGGTCAGCCTGTGAAGTCCCAGCTCCATGGTGTATGCTGCAATGGTTAGGATGAAGGGAAACCTAGAGCCACAGAAAGTGTGACTTTGGGCAGGTCTTCGAGGCATTTTCAGAGGAAGTCAACACATGACTCTGAGTGTATCTGGAGGGGAAGACCCACCCTTGTAAAGGCCCACCATCCACTTGACTGGGAACAGAGAGAGCAATTACAGAAGACAAACTGGTCTCCAACTCCTTGAAAGCTGGGACGTGCTCATCTCCTGTCTTGGACATTCAAAGTCCAGGCCATCTTGCCCTTGGACTCCAGAATTTATGTCAGCAGCCCCCATCCTGGGTTCCCAGGCTTTTGACCTCAAACTGAAAGTGACTCCATCGCTCCCCAGTTCTGAGGCCTTTGCACTTGGGCTGAGCAAGGCTGCCAGCATCCAGGGTCTCCAGCTGATAGACAGCCTGAGATGGGATTTCTCAGCCAGAGTAACAGCATGGGCCAACTTCCTAACAAAGTTCCTCTTGTAGGTCTACATAGAACCTGCTGGCTCTAGCTCTCTGGAGAAGCCCTGTTAATCAGACGTCCCCACATCACACAGGAAAAGCACAGTGGAGACCTCTCAGTGGGCTGGTCCTTCACTTCAAATTCCTGCTTCATCTTTCAGATTAAGAACTCTGCCCAGAAAGCAATTATTTATTTATCTCTGTAATATAGTATCTGTTGAATGAATAAATTATTCTTTATGGTGGGCTCAGCGTATCCAAATAAAGTTAATTAATAGGCCATTTTGGTAGAAAATTATATTTCAAAGCAAATGCTTGTGAAGGCAAAGAAGCAGTGGCCAGGCTCTATGTGCCACCTTTAGTCTGAGGCCACAGAGATTTAACTTCTGTCCTCTTGGACCTCTAACCATAAAGCCCATGACTGTCCCTTGGGTCTGTCTCCAAAGACCCTAGGGTTCCCTCTGTTGCAATTCCCTATCTGTCCTTATCAAAGACTCGAGACTACAGCAGGGCACACAGTCTCCAACGCGTGGAGGCGGCCTGGATACTGGCAGACTGAGACTGAAACCAGCACTTCCCAGCACACCATGCTGCTGAGGCAGCAAGTGCATGAGGGAGGGGTGCACGCAGAAACTGAGGGGCAGCACGCACTGGTCAGATAGAGCCCCGTCTGGAGGCCAGTCCTTGGCACCTGAGAAGAAATGCTGCGAGTAGGGGCAGAGCAGCAATAGCAGCTGATGTTTCCACTGAGCCAGTCCCCTCAGAGGCTGAGGAGAGAGGTAATTACAGCAGGCTGATTGCTCTCTGAGACTGACGAGCAGGCAGCTTGCTGTTAGAACCCTCAAAACCCTGCTTCTGAGGTCTCTGTGATATACTAATCAGTGGGAGAACACAGAACTGTTCAGGCCTCTGATGAACTTCATGCCACTCCTTCCAGAGGAAGGGGCTGGCTGACCCCAGAGGCTCCTCTTCTGCTGGCTTCTGTGTACACGGGTACCACCAACCCAAATCAAGCATCACAGCAAACAGTGGCTGTCCCTTCTGATTGAACTCGATGAGTGCCAGCTCACTGCCGAGCAGGGCAAAAGCCTAAAATCAAGGCACTTCCAGCTTCTTTTTTTCTTTCTTTCTTTCTTTTTTTTTTTTTTTCTTTTTGGTCTTTTTGAGACAGGGTCTCACTATGCAGTTCAGGCTGGCCTTGAGCTCACTTTACAGCCCAGGCTGGTCTCAAACTCATAATGATCCTCCTGCCTCAGTCTCCTGAGTGCCGGTATAACAGGCATGCACCATCATACCTGGTGCACTTTCAGTTTCTTAATCTGTTTATGAAGGTGGCAAAGGGTGACCTAGCAGACATCCCCAAAGCCACACTTGTGCCTCCACACTTGGGGAACCATTTCTGGTTAATGGGTTGATCAATCTGTCAGAACTTTTTCCCAAGCTTCATGCTGAGGAGAGATTCCTGGCGTTACTGCCACAGTGCAGTGGGGCGGGCCTAATCACAGTGGGACCCCTCTCACAGGCCTTCACAATCTCTGCAGGTACCAAGGGTGCTCGAAGAAGATACAAACCAACCCTTAAGGTGCAAGATTCTTTCCAGGCCCTAAATATAGTGAAATTCCTGGGGTGTGCATTTGAACCTAAGCATACCAAAGTTTGACTTGCACTGGGGCCTCTTGTCCCATTTTCTAGCCTCAGAGATACCTGTGTTGAGCATTGGTGATTCATTTGAAAGCTCTTTTCTCCAAGGAGTCAACCAGCCCCTGTGTGAGGGTGGTTCCATGGGGCCAGATCTGAGGGGTCACCAGTGATCAAAACAGTCACACTGGGGGCTGGGAATTTAGCTCAGTGGCACAGCGCCTGCCTGGCAAGCGCAAGGTCATAAGTTTGATTCTCGGTACCGAAAAAAAAAAAAAGAAAAAAAGAACAGTCACACTGCTCTTCAAGAGGTGGCTCCTTCTTCTCTGTGACTAGTGGCAATGTCATGTCTGAGGTAGGCCACAGCTTCAGATGAAGACAGCTCCATGTGTCCTCAGCTGAGAGTAAACCCTTGCGCTTGGGTGGCCACACCCTCCTGTGCCTGAAAATGAGGCACTCCCAGTTTCAGCAGTGACTACAAATTTTCTCCTTCTTTTCTATACATCACTAAGACAGGGAGACTTCTGAAAAGGTATAAAGTCCCAAGCCTCAGGACATCTAGACTTTTAAGAGTTCACCATCCTGTTTTGAAGTTCAGGAGTTGGCTATCCAAGGCTTTGAGTGGCTTAATCTCCATTGTCTGGCTTTTCCTCAAACACCCCTGCTCATGGTCAACAAAACACTATCTGGTCCATGGGTTCTTGGAAGCCACGAGCCTCAGAACGTACAGATACTCGTGGACGCTGTGTGGGCAAGGTGGGGTTCATTGTGGGCTGCTGGCATGTAAGACAGGACAGCGAAGAGAGCTGTGAGCCTTCCTGCCCTGAGGCATCCTCGTCTCTGCTTGTGACTGATGCCAAGGCAAGAATGAAAGATACAGAGAAGGCACGCAAAGGCCTGGCTGAGGGGAGAGTACTCACGTGTCCATCCCTCACCTGCCCCTTCCCTCACCCCAAGGGCTGCACAGGGCATGGGGTGGCACCAAAAAAGGGAGATGTGGGACCAAAAAATAAAGAGGTAAAGACTGGGGTGGGGGCTGACAAGAAAGAAGAAATAAAGACAAAGAGATGAGACACAGAGAGAGAGAAACTAGAAAAAGAGAAAGAACAAACATGGAGAAAGAAGACAAAAGTGAACCTTAAGAAAAAGACTGGAGATGGAAACACAGAGACAGAGAGTTGAAGAAACTGATGAGAAAGAGACAGGGACCAAGGAGAGAGAGGTCAGAGACAGAGAGGTCAGAGAGGAAGGAAGAGACAGCGGGGGTGAAGGGAGCAAAGTGCAGCGAAGACACAGCAATGCAGACAGCTGGAGAGAGAAAGTGCAGCAAACAGACAAGAGGCCCGTGTTGCGGATCAGGACAGATGGCAGCCTCTCCTCTTCTGAACAGGCTGCCCTGGCCTCAGTGCCCTCCCTCAGTGGTGGAGAGCCAGCCCCTGGGGACCTGTACTGGACTCCTCCAGGCAATGTGCTGCACTTCAGTACCTTTCCAGGTGAGCAACACCGGAAGATGAACGAGTTCCATGATTCACTGACTGTGGCTGTACCAGAGCTATGCCTCCCGCAGTCCATGCCTGACTCACCTTTCCAGACCAAGCCCACCCCTGCTCGGACCTCAGCTCCTGAGCCTGTTTTTCCTCTGCTTTCCTACCAGCCTCCTCAAGAGCAGTCTACATCTCTCAAGGCTGGATTTGCCATCGTGACAGAACACAGGATGAATTGGTTTAAATTTTCTCTGGACTCTGAGTATAGTAGTTTCTTTTAGGTTTGCCATTCCCTGAGGACTCTGTAATTTTTTCTAATAAAATGAATCATGAAAATAATAATCAGACATGTTTCTTACTGTTTGCTATCAAATGAAGATCATAGGCATTAAACACCCAAAACCCTTAAGCTTTTCATATTCACAGCTTTTCTATATTTTTGACCTTTTGATCAGAGTGTGCTACCCTATGTCTAGCTTTAAATCCATTAGCAGAGAGCTAACCAAGGAAATGTTTAAAACAGTGTTGACTGAGCGTACAATTAAGATTTCTGAGTGGATGACAGATGTTACAATGAAAGTCAATGACCAGCAAGCTAATGTTATAGTTGTATCTTTTATAAAACCTGCCTAAATCTCTTCGTGTTGCTAGGAGAGGGAGAAAAATAACATGCATGCAAAGAAGAAAGGAGGTCAGATGGGATTAGTAGGTACAAATCACCACAAGACTTGGATGTTTGTATTTCACTAAGAGACACATAAATTAATCCTGAGTGCTGTGAGTACTTACATCAGTACCCAGTTTCATCAGCATATGGTGAAAGAAACCAGTAAGCTCCTTCTCTCCTATGTAACCTTTTTCTAAATGCAAAAAGATAAGCATAAACAATAGTCACTTATACAGAATGACATGTGACTTTTATCTAAACTTGTTTTCAATGTCACAATGTATAAAATCCCCCGATACCATTTTTGTTATTCTAATAACTAAGTACCAACACATACGTGCAGAAGACATGGATTTGGTCACTGAAAACATATTACAGAGCAAATGCTTTATGCAAGGGGCTATATTAACATTTAGGAAAAGAAAGCTATTAAATACATCAGTTGTAATCAATGAATAAACATGAGCATCAGAATAAAATCTAACCCGATGATTGGGAAGGTTGGAAAAAACAAACAGAGGAAAATATTGAATCTTAGTTTGCAGATTTAAATGCAGTTTTAGATGTTTTCTTTATGTTTCTTTAATTATTAATAAAAACAAAGAAAATGGTGAGTAGTTTCATTCTATGTTTTAACTTCTTTTTTATTTTAAAGAGAATAAAAATTTAAAAATCATTAAAAATGATACAGAATTTGAAAACAAGATGATAGGAAATCAACAGTGGTTGTTACATTGCACATCGTTATTTTTAAAGTAGTTGTTCATTTTATTTTTAAGAAAGTTCTTTTTTCTTTTTGGTGGAAAATAATAAATTTAAAACTTGTTAAAATTCCTACTCCCTTTGAGAGAGTGTGTTGGGGATAAAACACAAAGTCACTGTAAAAATGAGCAAATAAGCACGTTTAGGGAAGGCTACTTTCAAAGGACTGAGATTCAGCCCACCATATATATATGATACTTGTCATTACACAGACAGTACATCTCACACACACACACACACACACACACACTGGGAAGGCAGCGAGTTTGCAGGAGGTTTCTGGATGTCCCACGCCAGCTCTCCACAGGTGTGTTGGGCAGACTGCGCCAGGTGTGGGCATGAACGACGCAGGCAAACAACTTTCCGTGCAGGGAAAGGGGCACGGGAAAGAGACTACGGGTCTACACCGCGTGTGCAAGCATTCGCTCTACTCACCCTCCGCATCGAAGCGCTGCCAGACCTGCCAGAAGCCCGCAGCGTCCAGGGACCGCACCCGAGCCAGGCCGCGGGCGCTGTCCATGGTTCCGATGCTGAAACTTGGTGACGGCACCCGTGCCAGACTCCCGGGCTCCTCCACCTGCTCTGCCGCCCTCTGTTCAGCGACCTGGCAGGCACTGCTGGCGGGGACTGTTGGCGCCGCAGCGTCGCTGAGCTGCACCCCGCCTCGACGGCGACCTCAGCGGACAGCTGCGGGACCGCCCCTCCTGCCAAGCCCCGCCCCCCCCCACGCGGCTGGGTGCTTCTCCCTGCAGCTGCCGCCTCTGCCCTGCGGGGCTCGGGAAGAAAGGCGCTGTCTCCCGCGTCCACGACTCCCTGCGTTAACCTTTAACTTGTTTGTCAAACTCGGAGAAAGCAATCCCTTTACCTTGACTCACTTGTCAAACTAGTGTCCCCAGAGCTTTTCCACAGAGAGTTGCCCCATTTAAAGAGCTGAAAGAGGTGTCAGTGCCTGGCCCTTTCGGCCTGATGATTTTAGACAGGAAGTGTGATGGGAGGGAAGAACAAGGAAAAGAGAGGCCAAGAAATTACTGTTAAACCTGGCCTGGGGCCACAGGCCTGTAATCCCAGTACTCTGGAAGGCTGACGCAGGAGGGTCACAAGTTCAAACCCAGCCTGGGCAATGTGTGTGTGTGTGTGTGTGTGTGTGTGTGTGTGTGTGTGTGTGTATGTGTGTGTGTTTGAGACAGGGTCTCACTATGCTATTCAGGCTGGTCTTGAGCTAACTTTGTATCCCAGACTGGTCTCGAACTCACAATGATCCTCCTGCCTCAGCCTCCCAAGTGCTGGGTTTACAGGCATGTGCCACCACACCCAGAGCCTGGGCAATTTAGTGAGACTCCACCTCAAAATAAAAAATAAAAAAGGGCTGAGATTGCAGCTCAGTGATGTAGTTCAATACCCAGCACAAGAAGAACGCAAGAAAGCAAGCAAGAACTTTCTGTGAAGGAGTCAGTCATTGGCCATAGTTGCATCTTGATTGTCCTGATTGTATAAACAGACAGTGTGGAGCTGTAAGGCTCTCTAGGGACCTGCAACTCCACAGACACTGCCAGTCACTGCGGTGTAAAGTACATCCTTAGGGTGCTGAGGGAAAGGCACGTTAGGTACAAAGTTTAGGTGGCTGTGTTTGGTTCCTAAGATGTACTTTAAGATCAAAGGCCAAAAGTCACTTGAAGAAGCACAGAGCTTTCTAATGACCAAAACTCTGAGACATTTGACTGGATGATTCCTGAAAGAATAAATAAACTCAGTTTTGGCTACCTTCTCACAACCTTTAGCTGGACAATCTATGGAAGGAGCTTGGCTCTTACATAAGACTTGGACCAGAAATTGACCATCTTTATGGCACTCTGATATAGTATTAAGATTAAAATAAAACATGTTCTTTTCTGGGTAAAACCATGGAAAGAACCAAAGAAAAGGGGGGAGGAACGGTTCCTTATGGTAGAAACCTTAAGAAAAAGAAAAGAATTCACAGAGTTGAAGAAAAAGTGCTTGGGAAAAAGGTTTGCTCAGAAGATGCTTCAAAGGGTAGAGAGGAGGCTCATCAAAAAAACTAGCTCTAGAAAACTCAAGCACGGGCTGGGGATTTGGCTCAGTGGCAAAGCGCCTGCTTGGCAAGCGCAAGGTCGTGAGTTCAGTTTCTGGTACCGGAGAAAAACCAAAAAAAAAAAAGAAAACTCAAGCACTACAAGGGATGTTACAGAAGGAAAATGCAAAGGCTAGGGTGGCAAGAAAAGCTGGCAACTTCTATGTACCTGCAGAACCCAAATTGGGGTTTGTCACCAGAATCAGGTGTATCAGTGATGTGAGCCCGAAAGTCTGGAAGGTGTCACCTTAGCCACATCTTCAATGGCGTCTTTGTTAATCTCCATAAGGATCTGATTAACTTGCTGAGTATTGTGAACCATGTATTGCTTGGGGGTTCCCTAACCTGAAGTCAATAAATGAACTAATCTACAAGTGTAATTACGGCAAAATTGGTAAGAACTGATCAGGACAGATAGATTATCTCTTGGTAAATGTAGTATCAACTGCAAAGACATCTGTACCATTTCAAAGTGCTTCAGAAACAAATAGAGTGGTACCTAAATTTGTGAACACTTTTGGTTGCAAATACACATTTGGCAAAAGTTTGTTTTTGTTTGTAAATTCTGCCAGTGGGTAACAAACACAACCATGGCCACCCTTCCTATACAAACACAAATGTGGCCATCTTCTCCAGAATGGAGTAAGATAAGTTCTTGGATGGAGGTAGCACTGTCTCTTCCCGTGGCCCTTCAAATAATCTCCACAATCTGGAATGAAGAAGACCATTCATGTCGTGGAAGTTGGAGAGGCTGGCAACAAGGAAGACCAGAACAACAGGCTTATTAGAAGGATTAACTAAGATATCTACCATGGCATTTTTGTTGATAAACAGTATCTACCCCAATAAGTAAATACATAAAGAATAAAGCACATGCAAAAGCCATCTAAACTCGAGTAATAAGAACATGCTGCTCCTGGTCAGATGGCACTGGATCAAGGTACCAGCTCCACTATCTTCTATCATCATGGCCTGGATTATGAATGTTCATCTCTGAACCTCAGCTTTCTTATCCGTAAAATAGGTATTATAGCATCTGTCTTGGAGAGGCCTTGTTAAGGCTTGTATCCAGATGTCCCTCTCATGCACTCATATGTGGGGCTTTTTAGTGCTTGCTGGATCTAAGGTGTATGACACTGGGATTAAAAGTGTGTAGTACAAAATTAGTCCACTGACTGGGTTAGCATAGTTTTGGGTATGGACAATGGGAAGGCCCACCCTAAAGGTGGGTTGCATCACCAAAAAGGTGTTAGCCTGGATGGGATAAAAGGGAAAGGGAGGCTTGCATCACTGCTTGAAGATTGCTGCTTTCTACCTCCTGCCTGCCCTACCATGAACTGTTTCTCCTCTGTGATGCCCTTTCCAATATCCCTTTGCCATGCTACACTACCTTGGAGCCAGCTGACTACGGATGAAAACCTCTACAAACTGAGCTAAAATAAACCTTTCCTCCTTTAACTTTGGGCATCAGATATTTTGTCTCAACAATGAGTAAAGTAACCAAGCCAGGTGCCATAAAAATAATAGCCATATATTGTTTGTAAAATGAATTATTATAGCTGATACGGTGTTGTAGGTGATGGGAGCTGACGGTATTCTTTTTAAGGAATGATTTAGAGAAAATAAGAAAAGTCTGGAAAACTCATAGCCAAGAAGAACCTTAAGAAACATGATGATTAAGTGTAATGTTTTCTGCTGGGTATAATCCTAAAACAGAAAAGGGACACTGGATAAAAATTTTAAAAATGTGAATATATATGGATTTCAGATTATAATATTTCTATAAAAGGTTTAGAAGAAAACAAAATTCTGGGTTCAAGGCCCTGCCTTGCCTTTTACTATCATATGATTAAGGGTGACTTACTCCCAGAAGCCTCACTTTCTTTACTATAAAATGGGAAAAATGGTAGCATTGGTCTTTTGTTGTTGTCATAAAAGTTTCATGTTCTGTGCTACACTCAGCATTGTACACTCAAATGTAAGTTAGCTACTAAGATGGTGATACTCCATACATACAAATTTGGAAGATGGTGAAATGAACTTTACAACTTTAATAAAAATGGCTTAGGTTAAAAGAAGAAAAACAATGTTATCCCTGTTGGGAAAGTAGTAGGTATAAAAACTGGAGAAGATAGCTGCAAGAGAAGAAAAAGGGCATCATACCTACAGTTATCATGGGTGGCCTTGGGAAATTATTGGATATCAGCCACACCTCAGTCAGGCAGACTAATCTATATGAATTCACCAAATTGATGCTTATCTTGTTTTCTGATAAATAATGTTGAAAAAAAAGAAAAACAAGGCAAATTTGAAAGTAATAAAGATCTAATGCAGGGGAATAGTTAAATGATAATCTCTGTGAGGGGATTAACTGTATACACAGAAATCTTAATTTAGAAGCCTGAAGACACACCTAGAACTACGCTAAACCAATTTAGTTATCACACATCTTAGATCCAGCCACCTCCAAAAAGCCCCACCTATGAGGACACAAGGCTTGCAGGGGGGGACATTAAGATACAAGCCATAACAGGGAGGAAGAACGAGAGATGATCTTCCTGAGACTGTTATTATTGTCCAACAGAGAAAGCAAATACTCAGAAACAGCTGCAATGAATTTAAGATACATTGTATGGTTTATGGTTTAATTTGGCTTCTTCTAGGGAGACTTCTGTAACTGGTTTGGAGTGAACTTCCACATTGGTATTTTTTAAAAAGCTCCCCTAGGAATTATATTAGATCCACTCATTAATCTTTTGCCTCTAAATTTCCTACTGCATATATTTTATTTTATTATTTGGGTACTGCTTCTCTGAAGAGCAATATCCTGGGAGGGAAAAGACTTCCAAGGAATTACTTCAAAGTACTGTTACTTTTTTATTAATACCCCATCTTTTCAGCAGGAGATTAGAATTTATACTTAGAAGTCATTCTGGTAAGTATTGACAATTGATGGTTGACACTAGGGACTAAAATGGTTGGTTTTCTTTTTTCCTCCTGATTTCATTTTCTCTTGCAATTATTCCCTGCTTTTCTCATTAGCATAGCTAATTAATAGTTCAGTGTACAAGAAACAGCAACGGCCTGTAATTTGAAGCATTGCTAATTAACCTGATGCATTCAATTCCAAGCTATCTGTATCTTTTTGCAAACTCAGAATGATATTTCCAACTAGATAGCAGAATAACTGTTCCTTTGATATCATCTCCCAAAAGCCAGAGAACATTAGAACATGATAGACACCTCATAGACTGATATAGTAGATCCTAGAATTCAGAGATAGCCTTGACTTAATGCTGTGCCAGTTCCAAAGAGCAAAGAAAATAGGATAAAATAAATTGGATAATGTTTATTATAAGAATAGTTTAACATTGGAAATAGAGCTGATGCTTAAAAAGTGTTTCTATTGTTTTCTTTGCAATTAGAACAATAGTACATCTCATTTAAATAATACAGATCAGAAAGTTTTAAAAAGGAGATTCTTCTATATCTTCACCACCCAGAGACAGCCAAAAGTAATAAGCATGTAGATGTGTGTCTCCCCAGTCATTTTTGTATGCATGAAAATTGGA